GTGTGTGTGTGTGTGTGTGTGTGTGTGTGTGTGTGTGTGTGTGTGTGGGTGGGTGAGTGTGTTTGGTGCTATCGAGAAAAGGGAAACCAAATGAAAAATATGCACGGCATTCAAGTGAAAATAATAACAGTAATAGATTTGGCCATTGTTGTCGCTGGGCGAATGTGTTGGCTCATCTTACTCTCGTTCCTCTTTTCATTCCTTAATTTTATCTCTACGTGGACTCTCACTCTCTTTTTCCTTCGCTCCGTTTTTCGACCTGCTTTTCTTATTTGCTTGCCGTTGCTTTTGACACCGGCTCACACACTCATATCGTTAGCACCAAAACACAAACCACCGCACATGATGAACAAGCATCATAAAGTATGCTTAGAACGCGTCTATTTGTCGTAAAGTCGAAGAAGGCGATTCGACTATTGTATTATAGAGTATGGATAGTGAAGCTGAATGTGAATTCATATGCTTGAATTTGTGGTCACCCTTCATTTGCAATTTTGGTTTGGTGGTTCGCTCCTCCGATTCGTTTCCATTCCATACAACACACACACAAACACAATTTTCAAATCGACACGCACTGGATTTCAGTATTATTAGGCCGGCCATTATGTTGGCAGCAAGTGAAAAGTTAATAAAATTGCTTATCAATAGATTTTGTGTGAAACATAAATATGAGCTTAGAAGATTTCACTCTGTGACTGACTCTCTTCCGTGTGCTCGCTCCGTCCAAACAATCAGTGCTCCTTTTTTTGCTGATTTCATAATAAGAGATTACTTAGAATTAGATCGCTTTTTTGTGTCGTTCTCTGCTCGCTATCTTTTTGACTGCGTCTGAAAATTGAGCCAACATCGAAGTTAAAGGAAAAGAAAATCCATTTTCGGTCGTATGGTCTTCAAGCGATAAACGACAAACAAATAATTGATTTCACCTTAATCGCCAATTCGTTCCATTGAAACGAACGCAATCCAACAATATCAAAATTTCCCAAAAAACAGAAACAAACAGAAAAAAAACGGAATCCCCGTTATTATTGACTGTGAATTCGGTCAGCCGCTCAAGGCATAGACAAATAAATGATGCCGAAATAAAAACGATTTCCTCATATCTCAAGCGTAAAATAAAAATGAAATTGGTATTTTGAGTAAAATTTATACTCGGTACCATTTTTCGATGGGTCACAGTCGGCGTGCGGGCAACAAGCGGATCGGATATATTTGTTTCTTTGTAATTGAACGACAGCAACAACGTCGACAGGACGGTACATTATCGCGTCCGTCGTCATTCGCGTATGGCACACCAAACGAAATGTATTTTGTATTTTGGTGTTTACGGGCTTGTTGTGTGTGCGTACAGTACGTACATTCTGAGGGGAGCGTAATAAAGTGTCGTGGTTGGTCGTCCGGCAAGAGAGAGAGAGAGAGAGAGAGAGAGAGAGAAAGGAGATTGAAACCAAATGAAAAACATAAAATTGCTTGAAACGCATTGCCTTTGCCACCGCTGTGAACTGCATCACTTCGTTCGAGTGCTTTTCATTCCGTATTCTCCATTTAATCGAATATCGAATTTTCTACTTTTCCCCCCATGTCTATCATTAATCGTCACTCCACGATGGCTATTCAACTCATTACTAAAGCAGCTCCATGCTAGTTTTTCAATTTCCAACACAAATTTGAAAAGTAAAAAAAAAGAATACGTCGCGCCAGCCAATCATAATTTTTTTTTCATTTAATTACACCATAGCGCACGTATTCGTCCATCGTGCGCAACAATATGCCGTCAGCATAAAACTTCTACGCCGTTTCATTGGCTCCTTACCTTCAATATGGCAAAACAATTTGAGATTCATCGATCAAGTTTTCAACTTTTCTTTTCTTTGTTTTTAATTAACTTGTCTTGTGGTTTCTTTGTTTTTGAAGCGACATAAAGACAATAATTACAAGCTAATTAATAGCAGAATGACCGCAGCGAGACAATCATGAAGGATCATGATATCGATTTCAATTAGAATTTTTCTAATTATTCTTCATCGAATGATTTGATGTTGTTGTTTTCGGTGGTTTCATTTATTGACTTTTGCCATTTCTCATTGTTCTTTAGGAGCAACATCCTAAAATGATCTTTTCAATCGATATACACTATATCTCTATATAAATGAAGATATTATTATAACCAATTCCACACCATCAACGCAAAATGTCCTCTTCTATTGTACATCGAATGAATTGAATAGTTCATCGAAATCGGTCTTCATCGTCATAAACTCTATAAAAATACAAGACGAACCAAGCACTTTTTTTACCAATTTCATTTTCCGGCAGCCAAAACTGGTTTATTTTTAACATAAAACCATATATTCCGTTGTTCCAAAAGCAAAACCAGGCCTAGCCGAATCGATAGATGATCAAAAATTGGAAATCATAGTAAAGCGTAAACATTATGTTTACGTCTGTTCTATAAAAAAAGTAAATGTCTATCAAGTCATGTGTATACATATACTGAATGTGTGTGTATATCGACAGGCGTGCATTAAATTCATAGAATTTTTCGTTTAACTTTCATTTTTATTAGAGTCCCGAGCTTAGAGCGTGGGTTTCAAGTGAGTGTTTCGGACCGTTGACGAGGAGGTAAATGGCAGTAGAGTGAGTGAGTCAGAGCCCAGTCTTATCGGGAAAAAGTCGTAAAAAGCAAGTGTCTGATGAAGAGCATTGATTGGCCTAGTTGCGACAAATATGAAAATTAATGTGTGTAAGTGGCCAACATTTCGGCGGAGGGCCATTCCTTAGAGTATTTCAGTGTGTTTGAAAAACAGCCGACTGACTCCCTTTCATTCGCTCGCTCACTCTCTCTTCCTCCATGTGTCTATCGGCCGTCATCGCTCAAAGTCATTCACGAGACTCCAACAAAAAGCAAATAAAATTGTATCCACAAAATGAAAGCGAAAAAGATTTTATTTTGATGATGCGAGTGTACATTGTACAGCAGCGGCGATGCAGCATAATCATTCCGAATTTTGTAATTTGTTGTAGAAGAAGAAGGAGAAAAATAAGAACGAGATCTATCTTGAGGGAGCAAAAATGCCATAAAAAAATCCGAAATAACCAACGATTCCATTAAATTTGAAACGAGCTTTTGGCTCCGTACACATTTTGGGGCCCAACAACCCAACAGTCGATTCGGGCATAAAGCCCTTTTTTTCTGGATTTTGTTATCGCAAACGCCAAGAGCCGCTTATCTGTTTTGTTGATAGTTTTTGTTTTTACATATTTTATTTAGTTTGATGTAGCTTGTAGCCGCATCATTTTCGCTGATATCATGAGATAAATGAGATTCGAATCGAAAATATAATGTTTACGCCATAATTTGGCTCGCAATTGAGCTCAAGCATGATCGAAATCGTTTCGAAAATTCATCGCAAATTCATGTATCGGCCAACTGCAAGCAATTACAAGTCTGAAAAAAGTGAACATGCGTGTATCTCTCTCTCCAGCGCATTTATCCATTTAATTTCGATTCGTAGAAAACTCAATTCGATTTCAGAATGATAACTGATTCGCAAATGAAATAATGATGACGATAATATGAGCGCATCATTTTATGTAATTCTAATTTATATATGAATTTATTGATGATCAACCGAAAACCGTTTCATGCTCACACAGTCTCTCTCTTACACACACTCTCCTTCCATGCTCTCAAGTGGTCAACGGGCCGGAGCATTGAATTACCGAAATAGGCTGAATTTTGCTGGCGTTGTCTCCCTCTCTCTCTCTCTCTCTCTTCCTCAATCTTCCTGTGTGTATTTGA